TGGGAGGTAAGGCAAGCTCATAAGCAACCTCCCCAAAATGCCGCAACACCTCAAAAGGACCAATAAACCTTGGGCTCAGCTTGTCCTTCTTTCCGAATCTCATAACGCCCTTCATAGGCAAAACCTGGAGCAAGACCCGCTCTCCAACCGTGAATTCAACATCGCGAACCTTTCGGTCCGCGTAACTCTTCTGTCTGGACTGGGCTGTGCGAAGTCTATCCTAAATCACCTTAACCTTTTCCAAGGCATCCTGAACCAAGTCCGTACCCAATAATCTGGCCTCGCCCGGCTCGAACCAACCCACTGGAGACCGACACCACCTACCATACAGAGTCTCATATGGTGCCATCTGAATGCTGGACTGATAACTGTTGTTGTAAGCAAACTCCGCGAGTGGCAAGAACTGGTCCCAAGTACCCCCAAAATCTATCACATACGCACAAAGCATATCCTTTAATATCTGAATAGTGCGCTCGGACTGCCCGTCCATCTGAGGGTGAAATGATGTGCTCAACTCAACCCGAGTACCCAACTCATGCTATACAGCTCTCTAGAACCGTGATGTAAACTGCGTACCCCAGTCAGAGATAATAGATACTGATACGCCATGAAGCCTGACGATCTCACGAATGTAGATTCGAGCTTGCTGCTCGGAAGAATAGGTAGTCATCACAAGAATGAAATGAGCTGATTTGGTTAGCCTATCTACAATCACCCGAACTGCATCAAACTTCTACTGAGTCTGTGGGAGTCCAAAAACAAAATCCATAGTGATCCGCTCCCATTTCCACTCCAGAATCTCTAACTTCTGAAGCAATCCACCTGGCCGCTGATGCTCATACTTTACCTGCTGGCACTTCAGACATCGAGCTACATATTCTACTATGTCCTTCTTCATTCTCCTCCACCAGTAATGCTGTCTCAAGTCTTGATACATCTTTGCGGTACCCGAATGAATAGAGTACCGCGAACTGTGAGCCTCCTGGAGAATCAACTCACGCAAACCATCTACATTGGGCACACATATCTGACACTGCTTCAATCTTCTTCGGATCCACCTGGATCCCATAACTCGATACTATATGACCCAAGAATCCCACCAAGTCTAGCCAAAATTCACACTTTGAAAATTTTGCATATAACTTCTTTTATCTCAAGGTCTGAATCGCAGTCCTCAGGTGCTGCTCATGATCCTCCCGAGTCCGGGAGTATACCAGAATGTCGTCAATAAACACAATGACGAATGAGTCAAGATAAGGCCGGAACATACTGTGCATCAAGTGCATAAAAGCTGTTGGGGCATTGGTCAGCCCAAAAGACATCACAAGAAACTCGTAGTGACCATACCGAGTCCTAAAGCTAGTCTTCGAGATATCTGGCTCCCGAATCTTCAACAGATGATAGCCGGAACGTAAATCAATCTTGGAAAACACCCTGGCACCCTGTAACTGATAAAATAAATCATCAATACGAAGCAATGAATACCTGTTCTTCACTGTAACTTTGTTCAACTGGCGGTAATCAACACACATCCGCATAGAACCGTCCTTCTTTTTCACAAATAAGACAGGAGCACCCCAAATGACACACTGGGCCGAATGAAGCCCTTATCAAGCAACTCCTGTAACTGCTCCTTCAACTACTTCAACTCAGGAGGAGCCACACGGTACGGAGGAATAGAGATGGGCCGAGTGCCCGACAACAGATCAATGCCAAAGTCAATATCTCTGTCGGGCGGCATGCCCAGAAGATCAGCTGGAAATACATCTGGAAAATCCCTCACTACTGGGACTGACTCAACTATAGGGGTATCAATACTGACATCTCCCATATAAGCTAGATATGCGTCACACCCCTTCTCAACTATTCGTTGAGCTTTAAGAAATAAAATAACTCTGCTGGGAGTATACTCTAAGGTACCTCTTCACTTTAATCGCGGTAATCCTGCCATAGCCAACGTCACAGTTTTACGTGACAATCAAGAATAGCATAATGGGGAGACAACCAGTCTATGCCCAAAATAATATCAAAGTCCACTATGCTGAGCAATTATAAATCGGCTCTGGTCTCAAAACTACTAAGAGCAATCAAAAACGATCGATACACGCGGTCCACAACAAGAGAATCTCCCACATAAGTCGACACATAAATAGGGGAACTCAAAGAATCCCGCGATACGCCTAAATACGGGGCAAAATAAGAGGACACATAGGAATATGTAGAGCCTGGGTACCATGCCGCCTTGCATGTACAATGACCAACTATTCAAAATACACAGAAATCCCAAAACCCGGAACGTCGTGAATCACAAACTACAGAAGGAAAGTCTAGTGTCTATATACATCAGAGTCTAACAAAGAAAAAATACAGAAGATAATGGACATGAGGAAGAGTAGAAGGGGACTCCGAGGTCTGCGGACGTGGCAGATATACCTTGAAGTCTCCAAAGCTATCCCGGCTCAGTGATAGTGTGGATGATAAGGAGCACCTGGATCTGCACACGAAAAATATGTGCAGAAGAGTAGCATGAGTACACCACAATCGATACCTAGTAAGTGTCAAGCCTAACCTCGGTAGAGTAGTGATGAGGTCAGGTCCGGGCCCTACTGGAATATGATCATAAATAAAGGCAAAAATGAAATATCGCAGTAAAATAAAGACTGAAATTTAACAAGAAAGAATTTATAGAAGGTAACAGTTCAATACACAAAGATAACAACAGGGGATCTCCCGAGATACCGCCTCGTAGTCCCAAACGTAAATATGTAAGGGGATCTCCCGAAATACCATTCCGCAGTCCCAAAGTAAATATGCAACACAGTGGGATCTCCCGAAATACCATTCCGTAGTCCCAAAGTAAATATGCAGTACAGGGGGATCTCCCAGAATACCGTTCCGTAGTCCCAAAGTAAATATGCAGTACAGGAGGATCTTCCGGAATACCGTTCCGTAGTCCCAAAGTAAATATGCAGCGCAAAAATAGAAATACAACTACATCATAAAAGCTTACGATTTAGACTAAAGACCAGTCAAGGAAGAAGCAGGAAATTCACTAAGCATGCTACACAGAGTTCACATAAGCAATTAAGACATGTAGACATGCTATATTAGACTAAACACGATAGCTACACATATTGGAATAACTCAATTAAGAATGAAAATAGATTAATACTCATTAAAATGGTATAACTCAAAATAAAAGGAAAACAGGTTGCTGCTTAGTAAGAAAATCGGGTTTTTCCACAACTAGCCCGTGTACGTACTCGTCACCTCACGTACACGGCGCTCACATATCACAATGGTTCCAAATCTTAAGGAGATTTCTCCCACACAAAGTTAGGCAAGCAACTTACCTCGAACCAAGCTCAATCAATCGGTCACAATGCCTTTTCCACGAATATTCGACTCCGAATGGCCCAAATCTAGCCAAAAGCAATTACATATCATAAATACAACCATGATAGACTCACCTAATTAATGAGATCAACACTTTAACAAAAATTCTAAAATTTATTCAAAAATTGCTCGTGGGACCCATGTCTCGGAATCGGGTAAAAGTCATAAAATACGAACACCCATTCACTCACGAGTTCACTCGTACCACAATTACTCAAATCTGATACCAAAATCTCGATCAAAACCCCAAAATCCGGCCTAAGAAGTTTTCTCAAATTTTGTCAAAATTTTCAGCCCCAAATCCGAAATTAAATGATGAATTCAAGCATAGATTAGTGGAATATATCCACAAAGGAGTTAGGAATCATTAACCACAAACTTCCTCCGAAAATCTCTCCAAATTTCGCCTTCTACCGAGCTCTCAATCAAATTTTTGTGTTATGAACTCAACCCTCGTTTTTGAGCCTTAAATTCTGCCCAGCTACGTTCTTCTTCGCGAACGCGACATCACGATTGCGAACGCGACATCACGATCGCGAACGCGACATCACGATCGCGATGAACAATCTTCCACTGGACCAAAATTCCTCCTTCGCAAACACGAGGGGCCTCTCGCGAATGCGTACCTTCCACTGACGGACCCTTCGCGAACACGAGAACCTCTTCGCGAACACGAGGACCATATCGTGAATGCATAGGCTTAAGGTCCCACACCTTCGCGAACGCGGGAACAACATCGTGAACGCGAAGAACAACTTAGCTGCCTTTCCCAGATGCTCTACGCGATCGCGAGGCACCTCTCACGAACGCGATGAAGGATTTTTCTGCAATAAAACACTAGATATCTGCCACTTCTCTAAGTTCAAAAATGATCCGTTGAGCATCCGAAACACACCCGAGGTCCTCGGGACCTCAACCAAACATACCAACAAGTCCTAATACACCATACGAACTTAGTCAAATCCTCAAACCATATCAAACAACGTTAAAATCACAAATCATCCTCCGATTCAAACTTAAAGAACTTGAAACTTCCAAATTCGACACCGATGCCGAAACCAACCAAACCACGTCCGATTGACCCCAAATTTTGTACACAAGTCATATTCAACATTACGGATCTACTCTAACTTTCGGAATCGGAATCTGACCCCGGTATCACACTACCGGTCATAATCTCCAAAAATTTGACTTTCGCCATTTCAAGCCTAAATGAGCTACAGACCTCCAAAACATAATCCGGACACGCCTCTATGTCCAAAATCACCCAACTGAGCTAACGGAACCAACATAACTCCATTCCGGAGTCGTCTTCACACAGTTTCGACTACGGTCAAAATCCTAAGAATTAAGCTTCTGTTTTAGGGACTAAGTGTCCCAAAACACTCCAAAAACCAAAACGAAACCTTCCGTCAAGTCACAATAGCAGAAATAGTTACAGGGAAAGAAGTTAATAGGAGATCGGGGCTATTACTCTCAAAACGATCGACCGGATTGTTACAAATAAGATCAAATAATCTACTAGAATTTTTCATGAAAGATGAAATTAAAAAGTGTGAGATAGTTAATTCATTTAAGTTTACACCCCAAAGAAAATTTGAAGCTAATCAAAAATTGTACATTGATCTATTCTACTTGACATATATTATTGCATGGCAGCTCCGAGCCACCCGATACATGTTTCCGTTATTACAATTGATATCGAACTATATATAGCTACAACAATAGCAAACTAACCGTAATCCCACGAAGTGAGAAGAATTGATCAAATGCTTTTTAATTCTTATTACTTGAAGAAACTTCCAGCCATTTTAAAGAGGTCTCCTTTTTTATCACCTTCATCTGTAGAATCTCCGGTGGGGCTACGATCGCCGTCGTTGGAATCTTTTTTAAACATACCTTGAGCCACTTTCATGACCCCGCCGAACCCACCTCCGGAATCTCCATCATCCTTCTCTGGACCATCTTCGTCACCTGATTTTTTCTTAAGCATTCCTTGAGCTTTCTTGATATACTCACCGTACCCTCCCTCGGATTCACCGTCACCTTTCTCTGAACCATCATCGTCACCGGACTTTTTCTTAAGCATTCCTTGAGCTTTCTTGATATACTCACCGTACCCTCCCTCGGATTCACCGTCACCTTTCTCTGAACCATCATCGTCACCGGACTTTTTCTTAAGCATTCCTTGAGCTTTTTTCAGATACTCGCCATATCCACCTCCTGAACGTTCATGTTCGGAGTTGTCACCAAACTTTTTCTTCAACCTCCCTTCAGCTTTTTTCATATGTTCGCCGTGCCCACCTCCGGAGTGATCATCATCATCAACTTCCTCTGAACGTTCATGGTCACCACCAGATTGTTTCTTGGACATCCCTTTGCTCTTAGTCGTATGCTCGTCGTACCCTATTGAGACAAAATAATTAATGAAGTAAAGTAGTTAAAAATTAATATTTAGATAAGATTGTTACACAATTTAATGAATGTTGTAGTGTATAACTCCTTGGTTCATATCTCACCGCTACTTGAAAAAAAGGTTATACTCCTATTCAATTTTTTGGTCAATAAAATAAAGAACTAGGTATGTTGAAGAATAATACTCTCTTTCTGTCTTCGTGATACTATTACGGGAAGAGGTTTTATTTAGTACCTAATTTTTTTGCAAATACTTTTTAAATAATTTGAATGGCTAACTGTTATGACTTTTTATAGATAATTTTCATATATATCGATTTTATATATATGTTTTAAAATTGTATGTCCCAATTCACGCCCGAAAATAATTGTACTGTCCTACTCCTCCGAAAAGATTTACATAAACTAGAACGCAAGTAGTATAAATAAATAATTAGAGATCTCTGTAACAATTCAACATACTCACCTCCAGCATGATAATCATCTTCCTCTAAACGTTCATGTTCGGAGTTATCACCAAATTTTTTCTTCAACCTCCCTTCAGCTTTCTTCATATGTTCGCCATGTCCACCTCCGGAATGATCACGATCCTCTGAACGTTCATGGTCATAATGTTCACCGGATTGTTTCTTTGGCATCCGTTTATGCTCTCCGTGCCCATCATCATCATTTCTGGAATTGTCGTCCTTGTGCGCTGCAGTACTAGAACCTTTTTTGGATGTGGGACCGGTGCCGGTGCCAGCAGCTTTGTTGGCTTTGGAATTTTTGAGCTCATAACCGTGAAGATAATCTTCAGCTTGTCCGATATACTTTCCGATTCCTTCTTCCCCAAATTTCCCGTAATGTGAGGCGGCGCTAAGAATGTCAGCGGCAGCTCCGGCAAGCTTTGCATTGTCAAATTCTTTTTGTGCGCCGCCACCGCCACCGCCACCTAATTTGGCTTGTGCGGCATCAGCTATCAGCTTTGCGCTAGCCATCAGCTCAGAGTTTGTTGGCTTTTTGTGCTCGTTGGGATTATGAGCAGCAGCACCGCCGCTTGCGGCGGCGGTCTTTCCACCTGCACGGGTGCCGGAAGTTTTCTTTTCATGGTGGTCATCGGAAGTTTCTGTATCGTCATTGTGTGCGGCGGTCTTGCCACCTGCACGGGTGCCGGAAGTTTTCTTTTCATGGTGGTCATCGGAAGTTTCTGTATCGTCATTGTGTGCGGGGGTCTTGCCACCTGCACGGAGGCCGGAAGTTTTCTTTTCACCGTGATCATCATCGGAAGTTTCTGTGTCATTGTGTGCTGTCTTGGCGCCACCACCACGGTGGACGGAAGTTCTCTTTTCACGGTGATCATCATCGGAGGTTTCCTTGTCACGGTGGTCGGGATTTTCTTTGTCATCTTTGGAACTGAGAAATTCCTTTCCCTTTGCAAAAAGGGCGTCCATTATTATTTGGACAATGAAAACAAAAGTAGTATATTAAAAAGTGAAGTAAAAATTGATTCCTTTTTGAGTGTTGACGAAAAATAAAATGTTGCTTTAAATGAGAAGAATGATAAATTTTATATGGGTGTTCTGGAGATATTTACTGAAGAATGGAGCGTAAAACAAAATTTTCGTAATTTTACGGCTATAAAGTCAACACCGTAGGGTAAGTATAAGTGAACAACGATTGTTTTCCGCATAATACTAAGGTTCTTCTTCAAATTAAAAGAACAAGAAACGGACTATCTCACAAATGCACATTAAGCTGTTGTTAATATACTCTTCTACTATTTTTAAATTTCTTTCTAATTAGGACTTGTTTGGCACATAAGTGTATTTGTTTATATAGGACATGTTAATTAATCGTGTACTACCATAAGCTAAGTTTTTAGAGTACTCAATAATGCTAGTATATCTTATTGAAGTGTACGATTCTGGTTATATTAGTAAATTTAGTTTTAAAAGATTATGCCGCGCCACCTATGTCATTTTGTCCTTGTTCATGCAAATTCCATATGTTACAAATCCAACTGCTAAAATCTATATATATTATATTAAAAATAGGGTATTCAAGCTTGATATTAAGTCAAGTGGCGTATTGAAAAAAATTATCTTGGCGCTTTTTTAGGATAAAATCTAAATATATTTTTGGATAAATCTAATAAAGATTAAGACAAATCAAATTTAATTTATGATGGAAACCAATTAAGATTGAAATGAGATGCAAGTACTAATGTTACAAATATAGGAAAAAATAGGTGATCCACTACAAGATGTGAAAAATAGTTTCATGTCCTACTTCTTAATTAATATCCAATGATTAAATATAATTATTATCTGAAAAGTTAAAAATTTAGGTTATTTCTACTTAATTTGAATAACCTAAATTAGCATTTGACATGGTTTATGTTCGTGCATTGTACGGGTACTAATACTAGTAAATTTAATAGTGAAGGCTCTGTTGGTCCATCATTAATAACTGGGCCGCCCATGATGGATTATTATAAGCAGCGGAAGCAATTTCAGTATCAAAATCACATGTAATCTAGACAACTAGTATAAACGGGATTTCACGGGTTACCTCTTGAAGTGTGAACAAAGCTCATCTATCACGTGAGTCTCCAATTCCATAGCAGATCAATGAAATCTCTACCACTCGCTCGATTACGATCTCCGAACGTTCTACGGTTTTCTACTGTGTTACCCAAATAATATCCGAAAATGGTAATTTCGTGTGGGCAAAATTTTCTAGGAAAAAGGCTGAAAATTCGGCCACCTGTCTTTTTCCTCTATGTGAAAAACCTTATGTATTTATAGCACAAGTTTTAAGGGTTAAAACCCTTTTCCAAAACCTGTTGGGTTTTCTTTTCCACAAAGAAAAGGATTCCTTTATTTTTTATTATTTAGGCACAATAGGGATTACATAATTTAATTAACAAGACTTTCAATTATGAATTTAATTTATAATTTTTGAAATTAATATCCACCATAATTAATTACGAACTATTCCACTAAAAATTCGTAATTGCACTCCTTATTCAATTTCAAAATTCATTCATTAAATCTTATTTAACTTCTCATGTTAAGATTCAGATACTAATCAATTAAATTAAATTACTGAAGATTTAATTTATTGATTATTTCCTTTAGACTTTCGCTTAACGTATTTCATATGTCGGATACAAATCCACCGGCCGGGTTTACACATGAAAACTTATAAGCTTTCATAAAGGTGTATCATCAATCTCTAAACCGAGACGTGTATTCTATCAACTAACTATTATTTCTCCAATGTACATTATTATTATCTAATTTACCAGGCATATTGACCCACAAAAGAATCTCGCATTTTAATAAATCAAAACAATAATAATATACACAACTAATAATAATAATAATATCAAGATTAAGAGTATAGGTACATGTAATGGCTAGAGAGTTTATTTTATTAAGTTAATATAAAATACTTATCTATACTTGGTTGGCTCAATACATACAAAATGTACTAGCACAAGAAGTTGGAATTAAACCATTCCCATAATCAAGATAAATTATATTTAATCTTGTGCTACAATCATCCACAATGGTTTGTCCAATTCCATCATTAGATTGTGGACTCAAACTTTATACTTATAAGAATCGATGATTTAATCTTCCGTGTATAAGCTAAACTCTATACACTAAATCATCTACTATATAAACAAATGACACAGACTAATATATGATCTATTTAAAATTGTATTAAAACTGAATAAATAATTATTCCATAATAAATACTATATCATGGTTAATAGTATATGTCCCAACAATCTCCCACTTAGACTTTTAACCATAATAATTATTAGAATATAATATATCTAAACTCATGGTTAATAGTATATGCCCCAACAATCTCCTACTTAGACTCATAACCATGCATCTACAACTTTCTCACGCATTCTTTTACATGACTATTAAAAGTCTTCACCAAATAAGATTTTGTTAAAGAATCTTGCCAAGTTATTTTATGATGCAATCTTTGTACAGTAGTGCTATGTCGTAACTATCTAGTTTGATATTAAGCTCTTCAGGGATCCTGTTACCGAAACTATCCCAAGAGTGTACACCTAACTATGATTTTCCTTAGTATTCTCCCACTACGACGAAGTACTACTAATATTACCTTCATTACCTTACTGTATTGAAATATTAACGAGTTCTTACTATAGTGTTCATTGTTCAAATATCACTCCCACTCGATAAAGGCATATTCTATCTATTAACGTTCCCCTACTACTTAAATGCAATGGAACGTCAATTCCGATGTGCGGGTTTTGATGTTCTTGAACATCTAGTTATTTCTTTGCCTAGTTTCTGTAAAAATAGTTTACTTCTAGAAACATGGTTTATTGAACAATCCTTATCTAGAAAAATATATTTGTTTTAACAATTGCCTTATTTTCTTTAGGACAATAAAATAAACCTCCATTCGTTTTCTTGAATATTCAATAAACATGCACCTCTCCATTCTTAGATCCAACTTACATATCCGCTTTCCTTTCAACACATGTGCTGGACAATCCTATATCTCAACATGCCACAGACTGAGCTTACATTCAGTCCACAGTTTTATAGATGTCACATGAACTAAATTCAGAATGTATTTTGCAGTTTCTAGGAAATATTTCAAAAATAAATAAGGCACATCTGAATAACACTTCATTAATCTATCCATGTCCAAAAGAGACTTATTTTGTAACGACCCGATCAGTCGTTTTACTTTTTAGATCCCTGTTCCCCTAAATAAGACCCTCGTATGTACTTTTACTGTTTTGTGACTTGCAAGAATGGTTAATTCAGGTTTGAAAGGGTTCGGGTTGAAATCAGAACACTTAGTTCCTTGTTATTGGCTTAAAAGGGTTAAGTTTGACTTGGTTCAACATTTGTAGTAACCGACCCCGGAACAGGAATTTGACAGTCCCAATAGGTTCGTATGATGATTTTGGACTTTGGGGTGTGTTCGGATCGGGTTTTGGATGACTCGGGAGCGTTTCGGCACCTAAAGTTGAAAGTTGTCTTATTGAAGGTTTTACAGTTCTTTAAATTTGGTTTGAAGTAGTTTTTGATATTATCGAGGTTCGTTTAGAATTCTAAGCCTAGGAATAGCTCTGTATGGTGATTTAAGACTTGCACGCAAAATTTGGTGTCATTCCGAGTATTTTAAGTATGATTCGGCGCGTTAATATTAAGTTGGAAGAACTTGAAGTTCATAAGTTGATTCTATTTTGTTTTGGGTTGTGTTTCTTAGTTTTAATGATGTTTTACACATTCCGAGGGTTCGAGCGAGTCCGTCTTATGTTAACAAACTTTTTGGTATGTTTGGACAAGGCCTCGGGTGCTACTCGGACGATGAACGAATCGAGATTGAGCTTGAAAGGGGTTGCTGGGCACCAGTTCTGGTGTGCCCGCACCTGCGAGCTTTTGGCCGCAGAAGCGATTTTGGGCGAGTGGCCAGTGGCCCGCAGAAGTGGAGGAACTTCTGCAAAAGCGGCCTCGCTTCTGCAATGAAAAAGGCCAAGCCTGGACCCCAGGTGCGCTCCACTTTCTGCAGAAGCGGAGATAGCCAGCCTGGGCTAGGACTGCACCTGCGATGGATTTTCTCCAGGTGCTGCACCGTAGATGCACCCCATGGTCCGTAGAAGCGAAAACGCTGGATGCAGTAAGGTCTATATAATATGGGACTTAGGCAATTTTGGTTCATTTATTTCACTTTTTGGGCGCTTTTTGGAGCTTCTTAGAGGGGGATTTTAACCTAGCTATTGAAGGTAAGTAATTCCTACCCAATGTAAGTTAAATACATAAATTATGGGTAGATTTTAACATGTAAAATTATGAAAAGTATGGGTTTAGTTGAAAAACCTAGGTTTTGATAAAAATGGGATTTAACCGCGAAAATAATTATGAAATTGGGTCCAAATTATATATTTGATTTCGTGAGGTTATGGGTAACAACTATCTTCAAACAATTTAGGAATCCGGGCATGTGGGCCCGGAGGTAAATTTTAATAATCTTTCAATTTGGGTTGGGTAATTACTCTTATAGTTAAATTATGAACTTTTGAACATGTATTGACTAATTTATATAATATTTGACTAGTTTCAGATTGTTCGGCACCGAGTTGTGGCTTTAGAACAAATTTGTGGGCTGGAAGTGAGCTTGATAACGAGGTAAGTCTCTTGCCTAACCTTGTAAGAGAGAATCCATCCACTTAGGTGTATTTTGTTATGAGTTGTTTGTGTGGGGAGCTACGTACGGACTTGGTGATGAGAGTCCCTGTGTAGCTATACTTCATGAGATATCCAGGTTGTCTTAGATTTACATCATGCTTTAATTGTACGGTCATATTTGTTATGGATATTAATTATCTTGAATAGGGCTGAGACCAAAGATTTTAAAGTTGAAAACTTCCAGTTTAGAATTCTTATATTAGGGAAGAATTGATGAATATTTAATATCTCTGAGAAATCTATGTCCTCTCGCGTCGCAAG